AATCATTCTTACTCTTTCAATAATGGTGCTAGAAAGAATTGTTAAGCAATCAATTACACTTTATAGACATACAGTTACTATATAATTTTCAGTGCTGACACAGAAGAGATAGAAAATAATAATACACTTTCCATTAGTGTTTTTTTAGTATCATACTAGTTTTGAATGGTGTTTTTGCTTTGATCTGCATTTTGATTAACAGACAACCCATTTTAACATTAAAAAAAATAAAAAAGAGGACGTTCACATATCACACATCACACTAACTGGGTTTCCTACAAAGGGACCATTAGTGTCAGTCACCAAAAATTTCAAGTGTTGTTGTTGTTGTTGTTTTGTAACTTGTTCTACTGACATTTTAGCCTGTGTCACCCTCAACTGTTCTATTTCTGCTCTGCAGGTATCCGCATTTACATTAACCATTTGCACAGCTCATAAAAATTGCATTATGGTAAACTGAAGCAGGGCCTGCCCTGGCTCTGCTGTTCTTCATTGCGTATTTTGTCCATTATCTCACAGCAACTACACTGCTACAGTCTCCATTACCATTTAAAAAGCATCTGGAATTCCATGCTAGCCACGGGAATTAACATATATTCAATACATTCAATATATATTCGATATATTCATATATTTATTCAAACCGGACACAAAATTATGTGTGAGGCTGAATGAACAATAAAAGCAAATCTTATCCTTAATGGTTATTGTAGAATAATTTCGATCATGTCCTTAGGATTCTGAATCCCATTTTATTAAGGAAAGTAATTCACGTAAATGCATGTTTACAAATATTAGTAAGACAGCTTACAAGACAGCCTTTGCTATAAAAGTCTACATTAAAATTCAGTCTGGGGGCGCGTGGGTGGCTCAGTGGGTTAAGCATCTGACTTCAGCTCAGGTCACAAATCTCACCGTTCGTGGGTTCGAGCCCCCCATCTGGCTCTGTGCTGACAGCTCGGAGCCTGGAGCCTGCTTCGGATTCTGTGTCTCCCTCTCTCTCTGCCCCTCCCCTGCTCACTCTGTCTCACTCTCTCTCAAAAATAAATAAACATTTAAAAAAAATTCAGTCTGGACCCTCGAATTCTTGCCCTGAGCCTCTTGTGAGGTGTCTGTCCTATATTTAAAAAAAAAGTTTATTTATTTATTTATTTTTGAGAGATAGAGAAAGAGGCAGAAAGAGAAGGAGACAGAGAATCCCACGCAGGCTCTGTATTTTCAGTACACAGCCCGACGTGCGGTTTGAACTCATGAACCGTGAGATCAAGACCTGAACCTAAATCAAGAGTCGGATGCTTAACTGACTGAGCCACCCAGGCGCCCCGAGTCTGCCCTACTCATGGAGTTCTACCAAACAGGAATGGGGACACGAATGAACAACTTTCACTTGCTTAATGAGGAAGTGGGGTATACACATAGATGGAGGTGGATTACCAAACCTCAATTAGCCCTCCGGGGAATACACGTAGGCTTGTAATGGGATTTAGCGTACAGTTACGTTGATGAATCGCATTCAGTTATAGGGCAACAAAAACATAGATCAAATGTCTGTTTAACTAAGTCACATGAAAAGGAGAAAAAAAAAAGATCTTTCTGTGGGAAAAACATCAGTAAATGTACATAATTCTGGTTTTTAGTAAGTTGAAAGTGAGTGAAAACTACTTAGTAATTATGTTATCGAGTCAGGAAGAAAATCAGAATGAAGTGCTGGGGAAGCAGATGAAGTTAAGGCACCATTATCTACAACTCAGTGACTGGCACTTATTCTGAAAAAGGCTCTAAAGACATGGGTGATAAAAAGCAGTATCATTTTCCCCTTCCTCTATGAACTTTGTAGTAGTTCTGAACATAACTACCCATTATCTGTGCTTTGCTTTTTGGCCCCGTGAATAGCAGCTGCACTTCCTGGTAACATCCTGTATCTTTCCCTGAGTGTCTGTGAACACACACAAGAGGTAAAGGCTGTAAACGGTGTGAAACAGGAAAACGAACATGCTGCGTCTGTGTAAGAAACAACGCAAGACAGATGGCTGAACTGACACAGAACTCTCAGACCATAAAGCTAGTTTTTAACGGTTAGAGTGAGCAGAAGCATTAAAGATGACATATTAAAACTTAAAAACAATTTTTTAAATGTTTGTTTATTTTTGAGAGTGAGACAGAGTGAGTGGGGGAGGGGCAGAGAGAGAGGCAGACACAGAATCCCAAGCAGGCTCCAGGCTCTGAGCTGTCAGCACAGAGCCTGATGCGGGGCTCGAACTGAGAGATCATGACCTGAGGCCGAAGCTGGAAGCTTAACCGACTGGGACACCCAGGTGCCCTTAAAACTTTTTTTTTTTTTAATTGATGGGAGGGTTTTGCAAAATACCGTTAAAAAGACAACCACAGGCCCAAAATGGCATCACTTAGTTCAAGACACTAATACCTAACGTAACTGCACTTTCAACCTCCCCCAGAAAGGTTGTCTTAACTAGTCAGTTAGGAATTTTCTGGTCAGCACCAATGAGGTACTCTCCGGCATAGGCCCTCTCCCCATCCCCAAAGAATAATTCGCCTACTAAGACTCTTTTGTCCCCAAGTGAAGGTGACCTCACCAGGAGATAATCTTTTTTTTCTGTTTATGACTTCTTTGTCCTGCCTTTAAAAACTTCACTCTTTCTGTAGCCCTGGGGAGTCTCCCTCTCTATTCATTCGCTAAATGGGATGCTGTCTCATCCATGAATCATTTAATAAAACCCCTCAAGCTTACTTGGTTGAATTTTGTTTTTTAACAATACAAATAATTAAAAAAAGAACTGCTCTGTAGTTCTGTATAAAATGCAGCTCAGAAACACTAACCTACTCTAGTCATTTTATAAATAAGGGGACAAAATGACAGATTTAATTTACCTAAGGCCATAAGATTAAGGGACAGCCAATTCTAACATTCTCAGCTACTTAGATGTATAGCTGAATTTCTGAAATTGTTCTAACAATTTTTTTTTAATTTTTTTAATTTTTTAATATTTATTTTTGAGAGAAAGACCGAGAGAGACAGAGCGCGAGCTGAGGAGGGGCAGAGAGAAAGACAAGAATCCAAAACAGGTTCCAGGCTCTGAGCTGTCAGCACAGAGCCCGACGCGGGGTTCGAACTCACGGCAAGATCATGAACTGAGCCAAAGGCAGACGCTTATCCGACTGACCCGCCCAGGCGCCCCGTGTTCTAACGATTTAAAATATTACATTTAAGAAAATTAAAATGGCCTACAACTCAACAAAAAAAAACTTGATTAAAAAATGGACAGAGGGTTTGAATAGACATTTCTCCAAAGTTATACAAATAGTCCATAAACACATGAAAAGAGTCTCAGCATAACTAATCACACTTGAAAATGCAAATCAAAACCACAACGAGCTACCACTTTCCACCCATGAAGATGGCTATTATAAAGCAACAACAACAACAAAAGTAACAAGTGTTGGCAGGCTAGACGTGGAGGAATTGGAATCCTTGTGAACTGCTGGTGGGAATGTAAAAACAGTGCAGCCGCTGCGGAATATAGTGCGGCAGTTGCTTAAAATAATATTGATCCAACAAATCCACTTCTGGGTACATACCCCAAAGAACTGGGAGCAGGAACTGGACCGGATATTGTATGCCATTGTCCACGGCAGCATCATCCACTGTAGCCAAAAGGCGGAAGCAACTCAAGTGTCCATCAACAAATGAATGGATGTGCTTGACACTAAGAGAATCGTTAAGATGGCAAATTTTATGTGTCGTTTGCCACAATTAAAAGAACAAAAAGCCTACAGACTAGTACTTTTCACATTTTAGAAGGTATCAGAATCACTTAGAGGGCAAAATTACTACTGACTCCATCCTCAGAGTTTCAGATTTAGCAAATCTGTGACGGAGCCCCCAAATCTGCATTTCTTTCTTAAAAAAGAAATTTAATGTTTATTTTTGAGAGAGAGAGAGAGACAGAGTGCAAGCAGGGGAGGGGCAGAGGGAGACAGAGACACAGAATGCAAAGCAGGCTCCAGGCTCCGAGCTGTCAGCACAGAGTCCGCCCCACAAAGAGGGGATGAAGGGGAATCATGACCTGAGCTGAAGTCTGATTTTAGGCACCCCTTAAATCTGCATTTCTAACAAGTTGCTGGGCAGGGCCAATACTACAGGTCTAGGGATGACACTGAGAAGCACTGCTGTAGGCCAAAACCGGCCCTTTCAACATAAAAATCAGTGATTTGCTTTATTATTTCCATGGCCGTGTCTTTTCATTTTCAGCTAAAGGAGAACTTCGGGAATGAAAACTCTGGCCTCAGGTAAAAAGCACTGGTCTTGGGAGTCAGAAGTTCTGGATTCTACCATGTACCAAATACGTATGATACGTATGATACGTAGGATAATTTTTTCTACTTTTTTGAGACTAAAGTTTCCTTGCCTGTACTTTGGTGTTGGTATCGTCAGTTCATATACTAAATTAATAATAAAAATTAATTTGGGGGGTTCTGATTAGTTCATTTTACTTAGTCATAAAATCTTAGAATGAAGTTTCGAGTTTCTAGGGCCCACAATTATATAAGCTTTTTGATAACAAATATGTTCCTAGAAGGCCTCTTATCTAAGAAGCTCAGAACTCAAGTAGGCAGTATGCTTTATGCAGTAAAAATGACACATCTAAGATTATTTGCATGAAATCATCTCCAGACCATGAACATTTAATTTTTTTTTTAATGTTTTTTTTTTTGAGAGAGAGAGACAGAGGGAGACACAGAATCCCAAGCAGGCTCCAGGCTCTGAGCTGTCAGCACAGAGCCCGACGTGGGGCTCGAACTCACGAACTGCGAGATCATGACCTGAGCTCAAGTCGGAGGCTTAACTGACTGGGCCACCCAGGTGCCCCCAGACCATGAACATTTAAAAAAGAACATTCTTCATAAAAGTGACTTCAAATTAATAAGTTCCTTTTAAAGAATATTTTTTTTCAGTACCTTCTGCAAAACTCAGGACTTACCCATTTCATAATTGGAGCCCAGAAAAAAACTGTTTTGGGACCTGGAAAAAAAAGAAAAGAAAAATTTAGAAATAACCCAACTATTTTATACATGACTTAAATTTTTTTTTTAATATTTATTATTTATTTTTGAGAGAGAGAGAGTGCATGTGCATGAGTGGGGGAGGGGGGGCAGAGAGACAGGGGGAAAGAGGACTTGAAGCCAGCTCCACTCCGACAGCAGCGTGCCAGATGGTGGGGCTCGAACTCGTGAACTACTGTGAGATCGTGACCTGATCCAAAGTCGGCCGACTGAGCCACCCAGGTGCCCCTGGTCCTTAATCATCTTTTATCCCTCTCAAACGAATTCATTGTGCTTATAGTAAAATTCATTAATTCAACGTGATTTTAATACAAAGAGATTTATAAATCTATCATAGTGTCCTTTAAATATACAACTGTAGTTAGTGGTAGATCTATTTACCTATAAAAATTATGACCTCCTTGAAGCTAGTGGCTAAATAGTATTCATACTTGTATCCCTACTACCTAGTGGCTGTTGAATAAAGAGCCAGCACAACTGGAAACAGTTTATATTAACCAGAGTTTAGACTTTATCTTTGATAAATACGGGTATATGTAATACACGTGCCTATATGCAAACAACTGAAAAATTCATTAAAATCAGAAGTTGTTTTTATCATTCCAACACTTGCATATTGATAAGCCTGGCTTATCCTTTGAAGAGTTTTTAAAGTAAGTTTGCTGATCTTCTTGACTATTTACATCTAGTCCTAAAATCTTTCCACAATCGAAGTCTCATTTTCTCAATCTTCAAAGGATCTGGATGCTAACTTTAGACCAATGATTCTTCAAATTCTAGAAGTACATGGCTCAGAGTCTGTCTTTCCTCGTGGGACAAAATGATTATAATGCTAAACTGCATTTTCTCACCTTCATGTGACAGCTAGTCATTTTCATGTTTTCCTATGTACTTTCAGCTTTTCCATATTTTTATTTTATTTATTTATTTATTTTATTTATTTATTTTTTAACGTTTATTTATTTTGAGCAGAAGAGAGACAAGGTACATGAACGGGAGGGGCAGAGAGAGAGGGAGACACAGAATCGAATCAGGCTCCACTCTGAGCCATCAGCCCCAGAGCCTCCAGGCCTGGAGGCTCAGAACTCAAGAACCGTGAGATCGGTGACCTGAGCTGAAGTCGAGGCTTAACCTGTCCAGTAGCCAATCCCAGGCTGCTCTATTTTCCATATTTTTAAAAATTTATTTATTTTGAGAGAGAGAGAGCAGGTGTGAGCAGGAAAGAGGTGTGCAGAGAGAGCAGGGAGGAATTAGAGAATCAAGAGGCTCTGTGTGTCAAACATGAGCCCGACACAGGTTCATCTCGCCCAGAATGAGACATGAGCTGAGCTGAAACAAGAGTGGGTGGTCCAGGCTCAGTGCTGACAGCTGGAGCATGGAGCCAGCTCAAGATTCTGTGTGTTCCTCTCTCTCTCCTCCTCCCTGGTGGCTTCACGCTTTTCTCCAAAAATAAATAAACGCAAGAAAAAAAAAACGTCAATGTCAACTTAACTGGCTGAGTTCTCACCGAGCACCCCCTCAAGTTTTCCACTAATTGCAGCACCATCTGGACAACGAGTGCTGAAACCGCTGTTGGAGAATTAAAGCTATTTATTGAGGAGTTCTAAACTTTGCTTCTTTTTTTTAATGGTTATTTATTTAATTTATTTATTTTAAGAGAGAGAGGTGTGAGCAGTGAGTCTCGGGGCAGGGGCAGAGAGAGAGGAGAGTGGAGTTCTAAATGTTGGACGTTGCTAACTGGTTAAGGAAGAATCTCTACATATTCTGATTTCTGGGTTCTGTACTTATCTTTATCCGTTCCCTCAGCTTGCATGCTGTTCTGATCCTAACTCCCACTACCCCTAGAACCCCATAGCTGCATAAATGATCTCCTCTCTCTCTGTATTCTTGGAACAAGAATGACTTGGGTAATTTTCTTTGAGTGTTATCTTTAAAATATGAATCTAAGAACTAAAGAAAAGAAACCTGAGCAGGGCACAGAGTTAAGAAATGTAAATTTCAATCCTGACTTAATTATACCCCACTAGGGTGTTTTGTCCCCAGGGGAGACGCCGGTATTAATGTCCCAGGACATTTTTCCAGTTGTACAACTCGTGGTGGTGATACTGCTGCTACGTGTACTGTCTGGGTAGATGGTGCCAGGCAGGCTGTTAAACATGCCTCCTCTGACAGGACAGTCTCCTCATAACAGCACAAATCAGCTAGCCCCAAAATGTTTCATGGATCAGAAACAAGTTAGTGTAAACACACACACAGCTTCATGCTGTTTAATGCTTGGTCTAAACCTTAGCTTCCCATGCCTTCCATATTTGGCTCTTGATTCATCTGGCTAACTCCTAACGCCTGCTTCAAAACTACTTACAGATTGCACCTCCTCAAGTGGCCCTCTTTAACATCTCCAGGTTAACCATGCTCCCAGATAGATACTTGCTTCTATCCGTTTTCGCACTGGACATTAAATGGGATCTGTTTATGCATTTCACTACATCAGGTGAAGGCAAGGCTTTTTCCTTAGTCTTAATAGTTCTGTGAGCAGAACTGAATGGGATTAACCATATCCCTGGGACAGGTGTCAATCAAATCATACTTCAAACTTTCGGCTCGATCCTAACCGCATATTCATCCTCTGGGCAGAATCTGCTATTTACTCATCCCCAGGGACATCGTTCCACTACTTCATGTCAGGGCGGCGCCGCCACGCCTAGATCTTCACTAGTTACCTGCTCTATCAGACTCCACTCTATCTACTCCTGAAACAGTTTTTCTCCCTAAGTCTGATGGCAGTAGTAGCTGTATCCTATAATGATCAGTCGTCTTTCAAACTCTCTGAGATTATTTTGAGCTCAGTAGTTTGAGCTGTCTGAGATTCCCATCAGAGCTACTGACTGGGTTTATTTTTGCTCATGCCAAAGTCTTAAGTCATGCAATATCAATCACTAGTGTTGATTTTTTATTCCCTGCAGAAGCTTGCCTTCTCTAGAATGAGGTAATAGCACAATGCCTTTTGTTCTAGCTTTTGAACCTCTCTCAGCACTCTTTCTCTCCCTTCACTATTTCAAAGAACCATACGATGCTTCCTCTCTCGCGGTCTGACTGGGCTGTTTCCTGAATAACCTAGGTCTGGTTTTTTAATGAGTTGGTAAAGTATTTGATCCTTCGAGTTAAAAACAGTCAAGTGTTTTCAGTGTTTTGCTTGTGTAACAATTTGCTCTAACACCGCCCCAAGTCTGGATGGAGAATTTTGTAACATATACTGCGCCTCCTGGATCCTTTACAACTAAACCAGTGAAAAAACTTCAAACATAGAAAAGGCTTGTGTAAGCAACCTGAGAATTTCCAAGAGGTACGATCTATTTTAGGGAATAATTAAAATACAAAACAAGCCTCCATTTATTTTCTAAATGCATAAGACACGAATTAAAAAATACTCACTAGCAAACATATAAGTGTATAGACATTCTAAATTTCTCATGATTTCTAGATATCAGAGGATCTGTTAGACAGTAGAGACAAAGAACCTGAGTTGGAGGTGATCTAAAATGCAAAAGATAAGTTTTCTTGTTAAGAAAAAAGACAAAATAGGGGCTTTAAGGCACCGGACCCATAAAACGATTTTAACAAAAAGTTTCATGCCTTTAAGGAAAAACTTATTTGGACCACTTCTTCCCAGTGTATCTTAGCTGAATCATTTAAATATGATAAAATAAGCAAAATTTGAGAATAGTGAGGAATCTAGGTACCAACGGCTTAGTCTCCCTGAAAACCACATGACAGTGAAATGGTAAATGAGAAAATCCCTACCATCTCATAATAAAACAGTTGGAGCAAAACAAAAGCATTTAAAGTAGGTATCAAAGTGGCAAAGTGATCAGTCAGGCATATTGTCTTTCTAAACATGGTATCTTTCTTCAGGAGACAAGACCAGTTCTTTTTAAACAACTTAAAGATGCGGTAGACTTTCGCAGTCAACATTTGCTTCTTTTAAGCTGATTCATTGCGCTGCAGGAAAGATGCAGGGGCTGGCAGAGAAAGGGGCAGAGACTTCAGGGCTTTCTGAGCTGACAGCAGCGGCCAATCAGAGGGGGGTCCACGAACTCAAAACACGGAGATCATTAACCCGCTGCTGAAGCTCCTGACTCTGAACTGAATCTGTAGCCACCGTGCCCTATAATTTTTTTTCAAAGAATTATTTAGTTTGAGCCAACTGAGCACGGTGAGCTGGGCTAGTGGGGAGAGGCAGACGAGAGAATCCGGAACTGCTCCCAGCTTTGAGGCAAGCTTCTCTCCTCTCCCTCAGGAGTAAATAAACATTAAAAAAAAAAAAAAAACCCAATATCTTTATTTTTTTATGCCTCTGAGAAGAGGCTGGGTCAGCGCGGCTTTGGCCGGGTCAGGTTGAGCATCAGGACTCTGGTTTTGGCTAGTCATGATCTTGTGGTTCAGGATCCCTCCAGTCAGCTCCTTGCCGCCTGCTGGGTATCTCCCCTCTTCTGCCTTTCCAAAGCTGCGCCTCAAATCCTCACTCTCTTTTTTTTTTTTATTTTAATTATTTTTAACGCTTATTTATTTTTAGACAGAGAGACATGAAGGTAACCAATGGAGAAGGGCAGAGAGGGAGCACAGAATCGAAACAGCTCCGCTTGGTGCTGTGAGACAGAGAGTCAACCGACGTGGCCCGAACTCATGCCTGAAGGCCTGAGATCCTAGTCGTCGCCATGAACTGACGCACTGAGCCACTCCATGCAGCCTTACTCACACTTCTCTCTTTCCAAAATAAATAAGATAGTATACCAAATATTTTTTAAAAATGAGATAATTATATAATTATGAGTTCCTTGCAGGAATATAACACCTTTAAAATAAATCAAGACAAACAGATATAAACAGAGATCTAGGTAACATATCATCATAGGGCTAATGAATGAAAATTGAATAGGTAGAAAATTTGAACCACTGAAA